GTTGAACCCCATCCTATTCTCATCTGCCCACTTTTGTAGTCTGTCTAAATCTATTTGCAGCCTCTCTCTCCCTTCAAGTGTGCCCACCTTGCCCCACATCTTACTGTCATCAGCAAACTTGGACAGTGTGTTTTCCACCCCCTCATCCAAGTCGCTGATGAAGATGTTAAACAGTGTGGGCCCGAGGACCGAGCCCTGGGGGACCCCACTGCTCACATCTCGCCAGGTTGAGTACAACCCATCCACCACTACTCTCTGGGTGTGCCCCATCAGCCAATTTTTTACTCCTCCAACTGTGTAGGCATCAATGCCACAGTCGCTTAATTTATTGATGAGGATGGGGTGAGAGACAGTGTCAAAGGCCTTCTTAAAGTCTAGAAAGACTATGCCCACGGCGACACCACCATCCAAGGATTTCGTTACTTGGTCATTAAAGGCAATCAGGTTGGTCAGGCAGGACCTGCCTTTGATGAACCCATGCTGGTTGCCCCTGAGCATGATCTCCCCTGCTGGCCCCCCACAGATGTGCCCCTTGATGATTCTCTCCAAGATCTTCCTGAGCACCGAGGTGAGGCTTACAGACCTACAATTACTTGGGTCCTCCTTCCTCCCTTTCGTGAAAATTGGGACCACATTAGCCAGTTTCCAGTCCCCTGGCACCTGGCCAGATGACCATGAATGCTCATACAGCTGGGCCAAGGGCTCATCACCACATTGTATGAGATCTTTCTGCAACTCCTTCATCTTGCGATTTGACTACCCAGAATAATTTAGTGTCATCTGCAGACTGATCTCGCTGTCTACTCCCTTTTCCAGGTCACTTAAGAAAATGCTGAACAAAATTGGCCCCAGCATAGATCCCTGAGAAACATTACTATTGATCTTCCTCCATCTTAAAAAATGACCACTTAGCCCTATGTTTTGTTTCCTACATTTTAACCAGAGTTTGATCAATTAAAGGTCCTTCCATGCAATCCTTTGGCAGCTCAGTTTTTTAAGAGTTTAGTGAAGGACCCTGTTGAGCTTTTTTGAAAATCCAAATACATTATCAACTGGATTCCCTTTATCCACATGCTTGTTAACACCTTCAAAAAACTCCAGCAGGGTGATAAGGCAGGGTTTCCCTTTACAAAAGCCATGACTCTTCTCCAGCATTTCATATTTGTTAAGGTGACTGCTAGTTTTATTCTTGATTGTAGACTGTACCAATTTGCCAGGTATAGAAGTGAGGCTCACTGGAATATATAGTTTCTAGGATCACCTCTGGAGTCTTTTGAAGATGGGCATTATGTTGGCAACCTGCCAGTCCTCTGGGACAGAGCCCATTTGTAACTATTGCCAACAGTTCTGCAATTCTGCATTTAAGTTCCTTCAAATCTCAGGTGAATATCATCTGATCCTGTTGACATGCTACTGTTTAATTCAACAGTTTGCTCTAAAATCTCCTATATTGTTGCCTCAGTTTGATACAAGTCTAAAAGCTGTACTGGCAGCCACCTTACCGCGTACACGTGTTCTCCATAAGCAATCACTCCTATTCCACTTCTTCTGCTTCTCATTGGTGCTGTGAGAGTCCACTGATTTGTCTTAGCATCATACGCTTCAGCTGTAAATAGGCATTCATTGCCATTGAACCCACCGCATATGTATACCTGTTTAAAAAAAACAAAAAGATGACAATTCTTATTGCTGGGTAAAAGTGGTCTTGAAACCATTTTGTTTAGATCTAGCCCTTTCCTGGCTCATGTCCTTGGGACAAGGTATTTAGCAGAATTCTCAAATTTGTTGGAATCCAACAAGGCAGCGCTGTGAGTGCTTCTATGACCTTGAGCTTTTGACCTTGGGCTTCAAGCTGCTCACCCCAGTGTCCATGCCACTGGAGTGGGGTAGACCCAGCCTATTTCACTGTATTTGGATTAATGCAAGTGCATGTATCACCTGGGGAACTGAATTTGGGCATTTTGTTTCTAGAGCTGGAAGGTTTTCAGAAGCACTGTATATTCCTCTGGCTGAAGGGAGTATTATCAACTGAAGAGTGATGATAAGAGACCGTCAAGTGCTTTTGCATTTTGGACCATAAAATGATAAGAAGATAGGACTGGAAGGGACCTCATGTGGTCAGCTAGTCCAGCCCTCTGCTCAAGGCAGGATCATCCCTAATTATACCATCTCAACCAAGTGGCTGTCCAATCTACTCTTGAAAATTTCCAAGGGTGGAGATTCCACAACTTCTCCAGATAGCCTGTTCCAATGTTTGACCATGCTCAAAGTCAGAATGTTCCTTCTAAAATCCAACCCAAATTTCCTCTGCTCCAGCTTGAGGCCATTGTTAGTTCTGTTCCCTATGGCTACAGAGCAAAGCCCAACTCCATTCTCTATAATTAATTACCTTTCAGGTATTTGAAGACTGTTTGAAAACCACATCTGCCCCTCAGTCTTCTTTTTCTTTTCAGACTAAATAACCCCACTTCATTTTAGCCTTTCTTTAAGTCATGCTTTCCAGACCTCTAATAATTTGTGTTGCTCTCCACTGAACCCTTTCCAGTCTGTCCACACCTTTCTTGAAGTGTGAGACTTTAAATTGGACACAGTACTCCAGATGAGGCCTCTCCAGTGCTGAATAGAACAGAAGAATCACTTCTCATGATTTGCAAGTGACATTCCTGTTAATATAACCCAGTATACTGTTGGCCTTTTTTTGCAACAAGAGCATGCTATTGGCTCATTCAGCTTATGGTCTACTGTAACCCCCAGTTCCTTCTCTGTGGTACTGTAGCATAGCCAGTCATTCCCCAGTCTGGTTTTCAGCATGCAATTATTCAATACCAGGTGCAGGATGGAGCACTTGTCCTTGTTGAATCTCATCTAATTGATTGCAGACCAATTTTCCAATCTGTCCAGGTGGTTCTGGAGCCTAGCCCTACCCTCCAGGGTGTCTGCAACTCCATCCAATTTGGTATAATCTGAAAATTTGCTAAGCATGGATTCAATCCTATCATCCAAATAATTAATGATTATATTAAACAATACTGAACCTAGGACAGAGCCTTGGGGACTCTCACTTGATACTTCTTCCCATCTAGACATTGAGGCACTGATGATTACTTATTGAGTACCATGACCTAACCAGTTATATATCACCTTATAGTACTTTGATCTAATGGGAATGCTGGGGAGACTTTAGCAAGGCTTTTGACAAAGTATATCACATCCACTGCCTTCATCTACAGAGCCTGTAACCTTATAGAAAGAAATCAGATTGGTAAGGCATGACTTGCTCTTGGTGAATCCCTGCTGACTATTCAACCTTGTTCTCTAGGTGTTTCACAGTAGATTTCTGGAGGACCTGCTCTGATTTTTCCAGATACTGAGGTCACACTGACCTGTCTACAATGCTCCATGCCTGCATTCTTCCTTTTCTTATAGACAGGAATTATATTTTCCCTTTTCCAAGCATCTGGGGCCTCACCTGATCTCCATGAGTTTCCAAGGATGATAGCTAATGGCTCTGAAATTACTTCAGCCAATTCCTTCAGGACTGTAGGGTGCATCCCATCCAACCCTGCCAGATGAGATAGGCTCATTACTGTGGCAGCCAAACACCTGTTCTTAGACAGGTATGTGTCTGTATCCCCATGGTCTAAAGAGGAACGTGTGAAGTAGGGAAGGGCAAACACAAGTCAGTTGGTCACCAGCTCAGTGGGAGCATCTATTGCCCTTTTCCCTTCAAAAGCTCCTCTCCAAGCTTTTCAAAGTACATCACACATTTTATTTCCAATACCCATCCCAACATTTACAGTGTAAGTTGGAGACAGGTTGTAAAGTGACACTGGAGAACTGCACTGGTTCTGATTTGAAGTCCCATATTCCATCTAACCTTGTTTCAGTACAGCTTACAGTCCTAAAGAATAAAATCCTTTTGCTACATGTATGTCACTTAACAACAGCACCAACAAACTCTTTTTGCGTCTGCCTGTTTTTTACATGTGAAAGGTGGTTGCCCTAATAATAGATTTTTAAAAAATAAATAACTCCGTGGAATAAATTTTGACTAAAAAACATGAAAAAATTCAATATAACCAGTTGTGATTTGTTTTAGAGAAAGATGAAGGGATAGACTTGGCTATTGGGCATTCTACCCTAAAGATGAATGCTTGGTATCAGTGAGAGTGCTTGTATCATGTTCAAAATACCCAAGTCGTCAACTACATTCAGAGGTGGAACTGTGGCAAAAGGTACCTTTTGGCTTTCTGTTTTCTTGTAATGCTAAAACTTGTCATTTTCCCTAGACTGACATTTTTAGCGGCCTAGAGATGGAAATTTAAAAAGCAAAGGCCAATTCCTGTCCTTGGCTTACATGCACGTACAACTCCTGAAATCAAAAGGAGTTACGTGTGTGTGCATGCACATACACACACTGATCAAGAGTGGGATTTTGCTCTGCCCAGGAGGTTGGGTGAGGCACTGGGGTCTATTCTTCATTGCCACTGACCCACTGTGTGACAGGTCGCTTCCCTCTCCTCTTCCTCTATTTCCACCCTTAAACCCTCTTATTTGTTTGTTTTTAGATTGTAAAGCTCTAGGTCAGTGGTTCTCGATCTTTTTCCAGGCAGCCCTCCATTACTTTTCTGCATTTCGTGGCACCCCAGCTGAGAACCACTGTTGTGTTGCCTCAGCTTACCACAGTGGTTCTCAACCAAGGTACTGTTGCCATTGCTAGCAGATGAAACTGCTTCTCATGCCAAAGACATAACTAGTGATTTTTTTCACCCTGGTAAGAGATGGAAGGAAGGGGAATGGAGGTGTTGTGCCAAACACTTGAGCACAGGGGTAGAGAGCTGGGGGAATGCGGTCTAGCCCAGAAAGGTCTTACCTGATAGTGGCTGGGGCTGCTGCTGGGGCTGGCTCCCTGTATCCTGCCTGGCTGGGGCTGTTTCTGTACATCCACCCTGTTGTGGCTGTTGGGGCACAAGCTCCCTCGGGTCTGCCATTCTGGTAAACCCTCCAAATTAGTACCTGGGGCTAGCGTCCCCCTTGCCCCACCTTAGCTATGGTGCTGCTGCCTGCATTAGGGTTATCTGATAAACCTAACACAGGCAGGGGTGGTCACTCTTGCTGCAGCCCTTCCTGGTTCAGCCGTGCATGCTCCTCCCAGAAACAGAGGTGCCTAGGCATTTCCATCTGGCCGTGCCTGTGCCATGGCACCCCTGACAGGGTGTTGTGGCACCCTAGTTGGAAACCACTGCTCACAGTAGTAGCTGTGCAGAAAAAGTCTGGTACAGGGGTGGGCAAAATATGGCCTGCAGGCCAGATCTAGCCTGCCAAGGGATTCTGTCTGCCTCTCAGCATGTTCCTTAGCCCCAGCTGGAAGCACAAGGTGGGACAGCCTGGGCATGTGGCGGAGCTGGGGCAGGGACTGGACTTGACTTCTTGGCAGCCCCCTGCTAATGTCTCCACCACCGCTGCCAGACCTGGCCCCACTGCCTGGGCACCCCACCCTGTCTGCCTTGCACCCACCACCAGGGGCACCAGATGGGTTGAGCAGGGGTCTCCATGGAAACAGCCCGGGACCCCCACAGGCAGGGCACACTCAGCTGGGCAGATAGGATGAGGCTGCCTACCCACTCCATTTGGCACCCCCGCTGGTGGGTGTGGGGTGGATGAGCCTGGGGCCAGATAGGATCAGTTGCTTCCCCTCTTCCCATCTTCCAGCCTGCAATAGCTCATCAAAACTCCTTAAGTGGCCCTCCAGCCCAAATGATTGCCCACCCCATGCCTGGTACAAAGTGGAACCTGCGCTCAGCTGAGGGCTTCCCTGCCTCAATGCAAATAAGAAAGGGCAAGGCTCTTGTCTTCAGTTTAATGGAGCATGCAAAAGACTCAACCCTGCTCACCAGAGGGGATGCTAGGGTCACAGCTGTATTCCATCCCTTTTACCTTTCCATACAGCGTGGTCGCACTAGCATCACTTCTCTGTTCATGCATGGGTGCAATCAACGTCCACTGGTTTGTCTCTGGTTCATACCGTTCTGCTGTGTTGAGACGCACATAGCCATCGAACCCTCCCATGGCGTAGATGAAGTTGTTGAGGACGGTGACACTGACATAGCATCGTCTCGAGTGCATGGGAGCAACCTGATGCCACGTTTTCTTAAGTGGGTCAAACCGTTTGACGCTGTTAAAATAATCCACACTGTCAAATCCTCCAATGATATAGACATACCCTTTTAAATAAGCAGCGCCATGGTATGCTCGGGGGCTTTCTTGCTGACACGTGACATTCACCCATCTGTCTGCGCGGGCATCGTATGTTTCAATGGCATTGGTTGGGCTTCCCCCACTCCAGCCACCAATAGCAAACAAAATTGCATAAGGCAGGCGAGGCCTAGTCAGTGGGTTGGTGAAATCAGAACTAGAAGGGCCATTCATGTTGAGATCGTACATGGCTTTTAGTGCATTTATGATGACAGGCTTGCACTCCTCGCTGTCCTTCACATAATCATGCATTTTAACGTTATTCATGAAATACTCAGCGTGCATCAATGCCAGGCGAACCTGCAAAGGCAAAGGGAAGTTAGGAGAGCTGTACCTGGGTATCTTTTGGACATGGACATGTTGGCTCTAAATAGTTTTGATGTCAAAGAAGATAAAACAAGGACTCTGAGACTGGAGAAGAGTCCAGAAAAGACTGACTGGTTTAGAGGCTTGATAATGAGATACATTGCTGTATAGGCCCTCACAGTCACAGCTTCAAACTGGGCTCAGCTTTGACACTAACCAAAGGCTGTTGCTGTCTTACTAGCTGTTTGCAGAAACAGATACCTGAGGCTGTTTGGTACTATTCCAACTAGCTGTGTTTACATCAGCACTGAAATTGTTGATAGGGAAGGGATTTGTTTCAACTGATTTTTGCTATTCAGGTAGAAGCTTTGAAATTGTTTTAACACTACGTGTTTATTTGACACTTCAAATTTCCTGTATGAGGCCTCCCACAGAATTTTTTCTAAATGTTAGCTCATGCTAATTTTTTTTTGTTTTGTTTCAAACTAGAAAATTGAAACATTGCCCTTTTTCAGATTTTTAGTGCACAGATTCTTTAACATCAATTTTTTTATCCCAATCAGGGATGGGATAGTTTTTCAAAAGTTTAATTTTGTGGGGAGGAAGAATATTTCCTGCAGTGTTGTATAGGGGAACTTAGCAGATCTTCTAACTCATTCTATGAGTCGCGCCCTCCCCTGCCCCATTTGAATCTCAAGTCATGGAGGTTTTCCCGAGTCAGCTGGAAGACTGTTTCTTGATCGAAGAGGCCTTTAATGTTCACCTGTCCTCACTCTCAACTTTTGTATTAAATATTAATTCACTGTGGTAAGTGCTTTCTTTCATCATCATCTCCCCTCTTCAGTCATTGTTTACCAGTTATATAGATAACATTATTTTATATTTTCAGCAGTCTCAGTCCCTCTGCAGCCTTCAGTGTTAGCATCCTTAGATTTCTTCAGTTTGTTCATATCTTTTATAGGAGGGTCAAGATCTGAGTGGTGATACTGAGAGTGTAGATATACCTCTAATTCAAAGAGGGACTGTTGTCTCTCTGACATGGTGCTTCTATGTACAGTCTAAACCTACACAAACTTCCCTTACTACTCTCTGCCTCTGCACATCTAATAACATACCCAGGAAGTCTGTTAACACAGAGTTAAAGTTATTGGCAGTGCTTAGTGCTTTTAAACCCTTGAAAAACAGGAAATACCAAGTTATGGTACATGCCACATCTCCAACACAGCCATCACTGTCTCTGACTGGTGCCCCACTGCCAACAGCACACCAGCTGTAACCTTAACTCTGTGTTAACATTTTGAATTTCCTTGGTATTTTTTTTAAGAAGGACAACACATCGTGTGTACCTCTGCTTCACTGCCTCTGGGTCCTGCCCATGGCTGACTCAATCAAACAGTGCATTGGCTGCTCATGGAGCCTCTTGCTGCCCCCACATCATCTCCTGCCTCTCTACCTGCTCAGCACTGCCTGGTGTCCCCTCCTCAATGCCCCTCCCTTAGAGAGATAGGAAGGCTTAGTGCTTCAGACTGGAGATATGGATCTAATTCCCAGCTCTGCAACATGCTTTGTGTGTGACCTTAAGGAAGTCCCATGCCTTCTCTGTGCCTCAGATTCCCCATCTGTAAAATGGGGACAATACCAATGCCCTACTTCACAGGGGTGTTAGGAACAAATATATTGAAGACTGGGGTGTTCACATATGCTGCTATGGATCTGGAATGTTTCTGTTTCCCATAAGAGTGATCTATTTTGTAAAAGGCTTAATTTTAGGTGGTTGTTTCTAAACAGCCCCTGGTTCTAAAGACCTTAGGTTTGGACCTCTTGCCCTACCTAGCATATCCAGAAGGCACAGCATGTTTCAGGATGATCTGAGTAAGCACTTGGATTTCCTGGATGTTAGAGTTCTTAGATAAGCAGACTTCTAAACTGAAAGCAATGACCAGCCTTTCATGATAGAGAAGTCAGGACTTCATGGTAATTTGTTGCTGTCCCTGTTCAAACCCCCAACCTTCTTTCAGTTTCAAGCTTTATCAGAGGAAACAGATGCTTGTGTGGGGCTCTGAAGTGCTCTGCATGGGCTTGCCCACAGGGACCTGATTACCAGACTGGGACCCACACAATGCAGGGGAACAAAAATGTGTTTTTGTTACCTAAGCTACCTTTTTCTGGAACATTGAAAGAAACTAACTTAAATCCAAAACACTGTTGCTGTAGCCCAGTGGTTCTCAACCTTTTTAGATTCAAGGCATCTCTTAGAAAACGCACTTAATTTTCACACTTTTTTGTTTGATTACAGAAAAATAATAAGGCAAGTCTTCTGTTCCAAAGAACTCAGAAGGATCGCAACAGGTCAGGATGTCTTCAACTCTATGGGCTCCTTTGTGAAAACTCTGGGTTTATCTTGTGAATCATGTTTGCACACTTAACAACATCGCTGCTTTAGCCCCTTTCAGTGCCACTTGGGAAGGAAAAGGAAAACCAGATTAGTAAAACTAACCTTTGGTAGCAAGACTGAAATGTACTGCTTCCTATTTTGAGGATCATGGGAAATCCATTTCAGAATGGCCTCAAACACTGCATCTTCCTGTTTCACATTGAGTTCATCCTTCTCAATGATGTCTTTAAACTCATTGACCGAGAGCTCTAGAAACTCATTAGACACCTTTACCATCTCCTCAAAGTTGTGCAGGATGAACATGTAGGCAGTTTGCCGCAAGTCAGGGCAGTGGTAGTACTCTGTGAACTTGCAGATGCCAATGCAATTTTCCAAGCACAGCTGAGATTTTAAGAATTCACAGCACCCCCTGACAATGCCCATGATGTTGAACTGGTCGGCTGCAGCAAGCAACCTCTCCACATTGTCAGCAGTGACTGGAACTGTCCTAGTGTAGGCATACTCGATAATTAGCTTCATCATATCAGGTGAAATGCCAGGAATGTTGTACACTCTCTTCTCCGTGTTGTTCCAGCCACTGGTAAACAAAGCCCTGGAAAAAGAAACAGTTCTTGGAGGAAAAAAAACACCAAGAATACCTGATCCACTGTTTTATTATATATCCCTTCTTCCTCCCGAACTATAATACAGGGGATGACAAACCCAGGAGGTTAGCTCAGTGGATTAGCAGTGGCAGTATGGAAAGCAACTAAAGTTTCACTTGCTTTTTGGCATGTTTCAAATGAGCTAGGATCTCAAACCATGTGCAAGTAGCCACTGAATGACTGACTGCCTTGTTACAACGGAGACAATGAAAAATAATTGAGCGTGGAAACTCAAAGCTCTGATTTAAATGGGAGGATTAGTGCATGCTGGCAGGGCAATGGATGGCATTGCCTCTTCCCATGTTGTGCCTGCTCTGTGGACAGATATCGAACACCAGATTCTTAGGGTGTGATTAAACATTTGACTGTGGGTTACTGTTGGTGTCCAGGCCAGTATTTGGGCTATGGATAAGCAATGGATGCCAGTTCCAGAGCTTTCACTAGTGCCAAACCTACCTTCAAATAATTACTGCTATGTAATAGACAAGAAAGCAGTAATTGTCCCTGCTTCCTTTCTCTGCTCAGTTCAAGCACTGACCTAAAATACGAACTGCAGCTACATAGGATGTTCTTGTGAGCATTGAACTCAAAACCATTGACTTTGATGACTACGTCACAGAGTTTCCCTTCCAGTCGAAGTTCGTTGAAGACCGTGCAAGCCATTGCGCTCATCTTCCTCTCCATGTGGGGGTGGGAGTACCCCACTGAAGTGGAGGTGTCACCCATGTCCGTAAGCCTGGAGACAGTGGAAGCAGCTTCCCTCTGAGGTGCTACAGGGCTTTCTCCTTTGCCCTCCTACATCTTCTCTAGAACGTGTGCTTTATCTGGCAGTTCCAGAACCCGTCTGATAATGAGATCACTGTTGGGCTCTAGAACCTGCGCTGTACAGCAGTGCTGAAGCTTGACAATCATGTCCTTGCCCAGTTAATGAGGCTTCCTGGCAGTGCTGGTACACCGCACCTGGAATTCCTAATAAGTTTGATGTTTTATTGCGCTTTTGCTGTTCCGAGCATAATCAGGTCCAGTTTTATTAAGATTTAATAATATGATTTTACACAGATACCATAGACTTTAAGGGGCTGCTTCTTAAGCTCTTACACCCACTGTGCACAGGGAAAAGCTAAGGTACAGGCTGCCTGAAGGACTCGCTCAAGGCTATTCATACAGCCGCCAGTAACTCAATGCAGTCTGCTGCTTTTATGCCTGGGTCTCATGCATCTCCTGTTTGGATGAAGAGCAGGGGGCTACACAAGGGCAGACCTGAGGGACTTGAGCAAGAATGAGGCAGCTTGTCATGTTGCTGCTGGCATTGGTTTCAGATCAATTGTTTCTAGTTTTAGATAAATTTGATAAATGACTTCCTGTTTTAGATAGCTTTTTGTTCCCTGTGGCTCAGCATGGCTGTTGGCAAAAGGGGCAGTGAGAGACAATCACGCAAGGAAGGACTTGTGAGGCTTAAGTATGGCTTAGAAAGTTCTTCCAGTCTTTACGTGGAAATCACTAAAAATGCACAATGCTTTTTAAAAACCACGTGGTTTGCAGGGTGGTGTCACAAACCATTCACAGGCTTCAGCACAGCTGTGTTTCTTTCGTTTATCTTGTGGTCTATTAAGGAGGAGCCACCTGCCTTTAACTTTTAGTTTCCTCTCATGACTGTTTTGCAAGGAAAACGCAACTTAGCTGCAACCGCTTGCCTTTTTTAGCTTCGTGGCACTGCAAGGGGCTGGGCTTGTGGTGAAAGGAAAAGAAATGGGTTTGCCATAAGGTCAGAGTTTCAGTAGCTAGCTCGTCTCGGCGCGCGGGCTCTACGAACAGTTCACCCCCAGCTAGGGCGCCGCCCCCCAGTGCCCCTTGTGAGAGCCCTGCCGGGCGCGCAGCTCCTCCTGCACGCTGGGCCTTTGGACTCCGCGTGGGCAGGGCAGGGCAGGGCGAGATCGGGCGCTGAGCCTTGCTGGTTATCAGCTGCCTGCAGGCATCCCTAGGACAGACAGTCAGTGTCAGCCCGGCTTCGGGTTGTGACCTGGGGCCACCCTGTTGTCCCAGAGGCAGGGTCCGGGGCGGGGGGAACCACGTGGTGAGGCTGCGCCCACCTGCGAGACCCCTTAGCCCGGCCCCAGCACCCCCAGGTCTCAGCCCTCCAGCCTCCAAACCGGCTCCTGAGTCCCTCCAGCACCCCTCAGCCTACATCCCGCTGCCTGCTCCCCCCACCAAGCCCCGGCGCTGGGCGCGCCCCGCCCGCTCCTCCTCTTCCCCCGCCAGGGGCCGGCCCGCGCCGCGGCTCCTCCCTGGGCGCCTAGCGTCTGCGCCTGCGCGGCCCCGCACCCGGTCTTCCGAGGGGTGAGCAGGAGCCGGCTGGGATGGTGAGGGTGAGAGCGAGGGGAGCGGAGGGGAGTCGTGGGTTGGCAACCTCCGGGGCATGGGGCCCAGAGCAGAGGCTCTGCATCTGGGGGGCAGCCTTGGCTCTGGGGGCCTCCTGGAGGGAGGGGATGCCCTTGTTGGGGAGGGCCCCCTTCCTGAAGCCCCCTGGCCGGGAAGCTGGACCACCTCCGCTTCTGTGGCCCGAGGGCCATATGCTGGAGCAGGTCCTCATTGCCAGGGACGCCTCCCTGCTGCCCAGGTCTCGGGGGCTGGCTTGGGGCTCCCAGCCGCCACCTTCCGTGCGGCAGGCCAGGCCCAGGCTAGCCAGCTTGGCGCGGGGCTCCGCTGGGGATCGCCTCCGAGCCAGGCCCGAGCGTGGTCGCTCAGAGCTTTGTTGCCACAGAGCTTGGCGAAGGGGCTGGGTAGAAACGACACCGCGCTCCGCCCCCCTGCCCAGATCTCTGTTCTCCCAGGGTGAGTGCTGTAAGCTGACAGGTCTCTGCCCAGCCCTGCGCACCCTGCAGAGTCTGCGTGTCTGTGAGAGCCGGCTGGGGTCTGGTTCCCTGAACCTCTCCGTAAAAGCTCTCAGTAAGGCCCTAGTCTTGCAACTGTGTCCATACAGGTGGATCTCCCTGCCTCTTTAATGTCACAGGGGCAGCTTTGGGGTCAGAGCCTAAGCCCCTTGCAGCTGGTACTTCTGCTTAGGGTTTTCCAAAAACAGGGAGGGACATTTGTTGTTTGTTTGCTCATTAGGGTCAGTTTGATCTGGAATCAATATTTGAGACTCCACCATATCAACTTTCAGCAGTTGGTTTTCTTCAGTCTGCTTTTGGGGCTCAAGGGGAAGACTCTTCCCTAAAGCCCTCTACAGTGCAAGTTTATATTGGGAGTGGCTTTTAAACCATGGCAGTGCTGGCATCTGCAGCTTGACCCTATCTCTAAGCATCACGCTTTACCTGGCAATCGCTCTCTGTTTGCAGATTGTGGAACTAGACAAAACGACTGTGCGAATGAAAAATCCTGACCATGTGAGGGGGATAATCTCATCCATCAAGAAAGATGGAGTAAACAAACTGCAGGTACCTCTTTTGCTGCAGGAAGTTTTGCATTGCAGTGACTATGGGGTGGGGGGTAACATCCTGCTTAGTTTCTGCAGCACCTGGCAGCTGTAAGGTGTGTCCCAGGGTGTCTGAGTACCTCGTGTTCTTTTAATTTATTGCGACAACGCCTGTGGGACAAGCTGTTATCATACAGTGACTTGGCCAAGGTCACAGGAAGTGCAGTGCTGGAAGGAGGGGTCTATAAATATCAACCCATCCTTCCAACACTGGCCTGAGAGGTGGATCAGCAGGATCATCCCTGCT